CTTGAAGCAAGGACTAGCAAACCTTTTCTGCACTGGATCACATATTAGGTATTTCAGGTTTAGTGGGATGAGAGACAGGGTGGAGGATATTATGCAGGTCCTTATGCAACCGCCTGAAAAGGCAGAAACCATTCTTAGATGGCAGGTTGTGCAATCAGCGGGATTTGGTCCACGGGCTATGGCAGCACCCTGCCCTACTGTCCTGAATACGTAAGCAGTTTTCGGGGAGGGGAGGTGATTGTTTAAATGAAGAACTGTCCCTGAGTTTGTATTAAACTTGCATAGTCTTTCAGTAATGAGAGTTCAGATTTCTTCATTAATTAATTTCTATATTAAATTATCCTTTCAGCTATACAATTTTTCCCTTTCGTGGTTATGAACATTTGTTTTCTTTACTAGCATTGAGTCTCATTGGCGAGATTCCGTAACTTCAACCTTTGGCCATTCCTCCATGGATTACTTATTTTAGGAGTATCTATCTCCTAACATAGTATCCAGTCTATGATGGGCTTTGAGCAGTGCTAGGTCCTGTTACTGACATTAGCAGTATACCAAAGTATGTATCACAGTGTGGGTCTGTAAGTTTTTATTATTTCACTGATGATGATGTTTGCTCTGCCCATGATCTCGGCTAATTTCTCTCTCAGCTCTTGAACGTCTTTATAATTAGTCTTTTTATTTGGTACACCCTGTTGTTCTTATTTATAGATATTCAGAATAAATCCCTGTAGACCAATGTAAAAAAAAAACAAAGCACTGCATGCAAAGACCTCAAATTTTAAATTCTGAATGAAAAGTTTTAAATAGATTGCTTACATAAATAAATAAATTAAGCGGCATAAGCACTTCCCTGGCAAGCCTGAGGTCATGAGTTCAATTCCCAGTACAAAAAATAAATACATAAATAAATAAATAAATAAATAGTCCAGTCTGGAAGTATCGAGGTGAACAATATGTCATTCCCTCAATTCTGGCAGTAAAAATTATTTAAGTTTCTACTATTATTTAAAAACTTTATCTATTAAACCAGAAAATAAAGCATTTAGTAAGAAAAAACAGCATTTTGCATTTTTGCTAGTCCTTCAACATGTGGCTTTATAGACGATCGTCATATCTGCTCCTACATTTTACTTACTGCAGTATGTTTTGGTAAAGTATCTGAAAATACGCTTACTTTAGACAGATAAGTAGTTGGAAAAGGAAGACATATTTTAATAGTCTTTTCAGATAACTTGGATATTTTTCTTTAACATTACTATAGTAACCTCCGCCTATCCATGGGGATGTAGTCCAAGACCCCCAGTGGACGCCTGAAGCTACACGGTAGTACAGAATCCTATATACACTATAGTGTAGAATCCTATATACACTACAGAATCCTATATACACTATGTTTTTCCTATGCACACATGCCTATAATAACATTTAATTATAACTAAGCACAGTCAGAGATTAACAACACGATAAAATAGAGCAATTATAATACTGTGTGTAATAGAAGTTATGTGAATGTGGTCTCTGTTTCATAATATCTGGGTTTTTTTTGATACTGGGAACTGAACTCACGACCTCACGCTTGCCAGGCGGGCGCTGCACCATTGAGTTACATCCCTGGCCGTGTTTCGTAACACGGCACTGACCTGCAGTCACTTTCTGTGCTGACGTTAAATGTGCAGGGCCTGTGTGGTGAGATGACGTGAGGTGAATCACACGGCCCTGGCACAGCGTGTCCGGCCCTTACGTGAAGGTTACTGAACACAGGCGGGCTCTGCGGTGGGGATGCTAAGCCCGCCGGCCAGTGACGGAGGGTGGGGACCGTGCACCGTGTGGTTACAGTGGACGAGGGATGAGCCCTATCAGGATGGGGCCCGGAGGGCTGCCTGAGATGTCACACACTACCATACTCAGAGAAGTATGCAAGCTAAAGCTTACCAGTCGTTTATATCTGGAATTCTCCAAGTGGCATTTGCAGAGTAAGGCTTACTCTTGGTAACTAAACCTGCAGAAAGTGGAACTGCCGACGTAGGGGTGTGGGGTGTGGAGGACTCTGTATCCCAACACCAGTGGTAATTATTTAAAGGCTAGATGTAGTGTGGAATCTGAAACCATATCATTGAATTTTTCATTCTGATCCATTAAAAACTCGTTGGTCTCTTCTACATTTGAAATGGACCTCTTACTCGTATGTGATTATGTAATGCCTTGCCTTTTTTTTTTTTAAATTAGACAGGGTCTTGCTATGTAGTTCAGCCTGGCTTTGAACTCACTGTGTAGCCCAGGCTGGCCTCAGACTTGCAGTAATCTTCCTGCCTCAGCCTCCGAAGTGCTGGCATTATATACAGGTGGCACCACCACGCCCAGCCCTTCCATTCATTTGGAAAAATGAGTTATATAAATTTCATTTCATTATATAATATTTCATTATATATTATAAAATATTTCGTTATAACATTTCATTATATAATATCAAACAATCACATTTGTGAATAAAATCACCACCGGCTTCAGAAAAAGTCTTCAAGTTTTGGGAAGCTATCAAGCTGAGGGTATCTGACAAAAGTCTCCCCAAATTTAATTTTTTTTAAATTTGAAAACTTGAATTTTATTATTGGCAATGAATTTTTGGAGGGACAGCGTCTCGCTATGTAGCTCAGGCTGGCCTTGAACTTACTATGTAGCCCAGGCTGGCCTCGAACTCACAGCAATTTTCCTGCCTCAGCCTCCTAAATGCTGGGGTTACAGGCATGCCCCACCACACCCAACTCCAAAAATGAATATAACAGTTGTTTTTCTGGACCTAACACGCTTACATTATTCATTAAAAAAAATCTGACAAATACCAAAGTCTGAGTATCCATTCTATCGCTCAAATAAAATTGATGTTGGGCGACAATCAGTGGTTAGTTCTGCCCACAGCTTGGCGTTTGGTTAGAACAAATGGCTAACTCATATTTTCAGTCTCACAGATCAGGCTTTTCCTTAAGACAGTCATTATACCTCAGGACACAGCACAGACTTGTGTATGTATTTCCCATTTTGTTATATAGAGTATTAAAAAGGTCAAGGGTCAAGGTTTATTTTTTTATTTATTTTTTTTTTTCTGGTACCGGGAATCGAACTCACGATGTTGCGCTTGCCAGGCAGGCGCTGTGCCGCTGAGCTAAATCCCCAGCCCCAAGGGTCAAGGTTTAATAAAATGAATAAATACTGGTGCATCTAAGACTTCCTTAATTAACACTGGCTTTTATTTTAATTTTTAAATTTCTCTAGGTGAGTGGGGTTGAATAGTATAGTGATCGTTGCTGCACTTTGTTGCCTTTGTTTGTTGATTTGTTTTGTTAGATTTTTTTTTTTTTTCCTTTTTGGTGGGTACCAGGAATCCAACTCAGGACCTTGCATTTGTCAGGCAAGTGCTTGTGCTGCTGAGCTATATCCTCTGCCCTTGATTTGCTCTAAGATGCTGGTAGTTTTACTGATCACTGCTTTCGTACTTTCCTCACAAAGGCCAGCGCATCGTTCCAGGATGAATGATGAGGTTTTAGTAAGTCAGTTACTTTGAATCTTTCAGCACCATTTGTGTCTGCCGTGAAGCATTCACACACAAGATATTCCATAATTAGCTGGTGCTGACACCAGGTAAACCTGTCAACGCAGGTAGATTGCTTCTCAGGGCAAAAGTGTAATTCTGCACACAGGATCAGTTTACCGTGACATCTTTAATTAATTTTATTTATTTTTGTGAAGCAGAGGATTGAACCCAGGGCTGTCGCACTGAGCGACATTCCCAGCCCGTTTTTAAATTTTTTTCGTTTCAGACAGGGTCTCGCTAAGGTCTCAGTCAGTTGCTGAACTGCCCAGAGTGAGCTCCCACTTGAGATCCTCCCACTTCGGCCTCCCAGCGTGCGGGAGTTGCAGGACTGAGCCATCTGCCTGCGGGAATCTTTGTTAGTGAGTTAGTGTGTTACGGGCAAGTGGTAGTGGGGAGATTTCTGCTGCGGACTTTTTGTCTAGAAGGTTTGCAGCAAGATAAGCTGCCAGGCTTTATTGGATTCTCACGTATGATGTTCACATCTTCAGCCAATGCAGTAGAATAATTCACCTTGTACAATACCGGCATTTTCATGTGAAGTGTGGAAAGCTGTTCTAAATAACTTTTTGCTTTTCTAGGATTTTATTACAGTTCCATTTAAAAAATTCCATCCTGTTCTAGAACTCTGAATTGCTGGTTTCAAAATAGCGTTACAACATAACCGGGATCATAAAGCTGTTCCACACGTTCTGTTGTATAAAACACAGTAAATTATTAACATCCACAATGCTAGGAAAGATAAGAGAAAGCACTGCCATGCTTTTATTACTTTTTCACACTGTCTCCTCTCACTTCCTGAACTCTCGGTGCGGCGTTTGGTCTCTTCCAGTTTTGCGCTGTAGACTTCTGATCTCCCTTCTTATGTGTGTGTGTGGTCCCGGGGTGTGATCGCAGGGCCTTGCTTCCAAGCCTTTTTTAAAAAATAACTGAAGCAATGTTGAGAGAGCCTTGCTAAGCTGCCTAGGCTGGCCCCAGACTCGCACTCCTCCTGCCCCAGTCTCCAGTGGCTGGGATCACCGCCACCATGACCACTCGAACCTTCCCTTTTAGAGCAAAAGATCAGGCTCTAGTGTCAGGTCGTTTTAATCTGTCTTTGCCTTTGGTGACCTCAGACAAATCCCCATTTTTTGGGAATCTGGAAGAGGCGTTGAGTGCTGTGATTCAAGGTCTCTCATGAGGCCGCAGTCCAGATGCCGGCCAGGGCTGAATCACTTGACCAGATAGGGTGCTGGAGGATCTGCTCTCCAAGTAGCCGGCTCACACGGCCGGCAGGCCGGTGCTGGCCCTGGGCCCAGCCCACTCGCCGCTACCGTCCTCCCAACCTGGTGGCCTCCCCAGAGCGACTGTTCCACGGTGTTTGGTTAGCATAGTGGCAGTGTCACACCATTCAACCCGACAGGCCAGGCCAGACTGAGTTCACATGTCAACATTTAAATAAGGCAAAGTACACTGAAACAAGTGTTCACAAATACCCGCTCCTCTGCCTGTGTCTTAGGAAGCCCTGGCTCACACCGTTAGGAGGGCCAGGAGTCCTGTCATCTGCAGCGGGGGAGAGCCAGCGGTAGAAGTTTAGTGCAGAGGCCACGATGGGGAGCCCGTGGCTGTCTCAGGGCCCGAGAAGAGCGCTGAAATCGGTGGCGGGAGACCACACGCTTAGCTCAAGAGGAGCAGCTGCCTGGTTTCCTTCCGGCCTGGACGGCCTGCTGCCCTGAGGGTCCGTTTCGCTCAGTCTAGATGCAGATGCCAAGCTCGCCCCCCAGCCGTGTTTCACCAGCACCCTGAGGGTCCTGTGGGCCAGTCAAGGTGACAGCCGGGCATCACACCGCCACCTCTCTCGGCTTCTGAGCAACTGCAGTCACTGCAGCCTTACGTTTGTTGTTGCTACTTACGTATGTTACTAAAAAACTGGGTGGAGCGAAGCGGCCAAGTTTCGGGGCAGTGCATTTACGAGAAGCAAGGAAATACTTCGGAACTGTTTCACCCGGGTCCTCCACCCGCTCTTAACACTTAGTGCCAGCTCCGAGGTCGTCGCGGCCGCCCTGCCTGCGCTCACACGAGCTCCTTCGCTGATTCCCTTTGCACCCGACGCTGGCGCGTTCGCCTGGGCCGGGCACGGCAGCGAGGCCGCCTGCCACGGAGCCTGTGCGGCTGCGGCCGTGCCCGCCTGCCCATCCGCTCTGGCAGGGCCGCCCCGCGCCGCGTCCCTCGCTGACCTACCCCTCTGCCGCTGTTGCTACGGGTCAGCGAGGTTTCTCCTGGGCTCCTGCAGCGGCTCGAGAACAGTGTCCAGGCCCCTTACTCGCCTTCTCTAACCGCTTGCGGGTTAATGTCGCCCGCTGCAGATTCTCTCAACATTCGTTAAGTAAGACTCCAGGGCTCCAGCGGGCCCTGGCCCTCCCCCGGCCCAGGCTGCCCTCGCGTCTGACGTGCTCCTCCGCCGTGCCGTTCCCTCCGGCGATCCCCTCCCCGGAGGCACCTCCTTCCTCTGCCGTCGACCTCCCGGCTGCGGACCCGCCAGGCGCTCAGGGCCGCTCGCCGGACTTCGTAGCCGTCGGAGCTTTAATCACAGCCGCTTCTCCTAACGCGGCTCGCACTTACCTTACCACGCCTGCCAGTTACGCTGTACTGGAAAGGACGGGCTTAATTAATCATTTACGTTTTTGACCTAAAAGGCAGTTTCCGTTGTTTTGGGTGGGCTTGCCCGGCCGCGTGCACCCGCTGGGACAGCGCTGCGCACCGGCACGGCCCGCCTGGGTGTCTGCGGCGCAGGCTAACGCGCTCCCCGCGGGGCGCTCGACCGCTTCGCGCGCGGCGCTGCCCTGGCGCGGGAGGGCTGCACGGACCGGCGCCGCTCTCACCTCCGCGGAGCTGCCCCAGAGAGCAGCTGGGGGGGCGGTAACCGGAGGCAGGAGGAGGCTGGCCGCCTGAGCTCGGGCCCTTCCGGCACCACGCGGGCTGGGCAGGGGCCCGCGTCTCCCCCGCCGGGATCACCCCGCCGCCGCCTCTCGCGGCCCTGTTGGTG